TCACTCAGACAGAGCTCAATGATCCTAAGAGACAGACTACTTGCTAACCCTTCCCCTCCAGTCTGTGGGCATGTCTTTGTCCACGTTTGGGCTCCTCCTCCGTCTCATGCAAAGCAACCCTTAAAGATTAACCCACCAGATCCTCTAGAGATGCCCACACAAGTCTGAATTCTGGAGTAAATACAGCTTAGGTTCAAGTTGAGAGCCAGGACTGCATATTTCTGGTTCCTAAAGGTTTTAAAGAAGATGAAATGCATTTAGCATACTAGGGCAAAAGGATTCACAAAATAGGCGTGTTTCGGTGACAAAGCACTTGCTCCACATAGCCTAAGGGTAAATGCCAATGCATATTTAAAATGGAGTGGGGGGAGTAGAAATAAATTGGAACATCCCCAATGTCAACCTTTGGTTTCATGTCCTAGCTCTTACCAGCTGAGTAACCTTCCGTAGGTTATTTAATTTCTTTGAGATTTCAGTTTTCTCATCCTAAAATACATATAGTATAAATCCCATTCGCATCAGCCCCAACCCCTTTATTTAAGAATTACATGAGGGGCACCTGGGTGGCCTTGATTTCAGCTCAGAGCATGATCTGGCGGTTCGTGGGACTGAGCTCCATGTCGGGCTCTGCACTAATGGTGGGAAGCTTGCTTGGGATTCTTTCTCTTCCTCTCTCTCTGCCCTTTCCCTGCTGTCTCTGAAAACAAATGAATGAACTGTAAAAAAAAGAATTACAGGGGCACCTGGGTGGCTCAGTAGGTTAAGTATCTGACTTCAGTGCCGGTCATGATCTCACGGTTCATGAATTTGATTGAGCCCCGGATGGGGCTGTCTACTGTCAGCACAGAGCCCTCTTTGGATCCTCTGTCCCCCTCTCTCTCTGCTCTGGCCCCGCTCACACACGTGCTCACCCTCTCTCTCTCAAACATAAAATAAAACGTTAAAAAAATAAAATATTATTTTTAAAAAGTAAATAAAAAATAAATTAAAAACAGAATTGAGATAATATTTGTAACTAGTACAGTGCCTGATATAAAGTAAGGAACCGATGAATGTTCGTTCTTCTCCTTCCCCCACCTGCTCAGCTTCTCTCCTTGTCCTTATCCAAGAAATATAAAGACATGTGGATTAGCCAGAGAGGCTGAACCCACAACTTCAGGTGCAGCAGAGAAAGTAGCCCCCCTCCCCTGGGACAACAAGGTACGGAGCAAGTGTTCTCCTGCAGGCTGCTGGAGAGTACGAGCTTCAGAATGAAATGTAAGGCCACCAGGCTCCATGAGGAACTACAACCACAAACCATAGGTCAGCGATCACAAGTGCTTGGTAGGGAGGGGAGTTGGTGGGGTTTTTTTACCCAGATGGAAAGAAACATTAACAAAACTTCCCCTCCCCCCAAAAAAATTCAGTTTCTATCTGCGCACGTAGTACACCTACTTGCCTTTTTACCTAAAGAAAGCCAGTATCTTTTACAAAGTGTTAACAAAATAGTAAGAGTATTCAATAGACGGAGGAACATGCAGCATCTTAGCATGGCATTATACAAAACAATGCGAGCTTAAATAAGAAGCACTTTATCTAAGAAGCCAGCATACAATTATCCAACATGAATAGCACGGAAAAAAAACATTTTAATGCCATACCTTCCTGACTTGCCATTTTCCCCAGGGCACCTCAAAAAAAAAGGAAGAAATTGTTTTAAATACATAAAGCCAGAAGCTTCCCCCACCCCCTCTGCTCCCAAGTCTCTAGCGAGGGAACAGCAAGGCATTAACTCAGAGGGAAGGCTGCCACCTACTGGGCCATCGCTAACATCCCTCAACATTTTCTGTGGGCTTTTCAAGGTCTCCCCGCCTAAAATCCTGATTTGGCCCGAAGCCGCTTAGTTAGTGACAGTGACAAAATCATAACCCAAGACACTACTGCACAGAAACTTAAAAGCGACAACATGAATTAATCATAGGACAACCTCTTGCGAACTTCACAGCAACATTTTTGCTTTAAGCATCAGAGAGCTTGCGTTTTCAAAGAGGAGGGGAAAAAAAACCCCTTTCTCTCTAAATTTCTGTTGTTGTTTTCTAAGGACAGAGTGCTTTAATAGTCGGTAAGTGCTGCTAATTGCTCCCTGGACAGCCCTAATCTGGCCATTTCCTCCCTGCCTTTTACTCCATAAATCCTTCAGAAGACTAATATATTGGTTCAGTATCCTCAAAAGAACCCCCTTTGATTGGATTGGTTTACGTGTTTACAAATAGTTTCTCTATCCCCACCATTTGAAAGAGCCCATTGTTAGAAAATCTTTTATTATTGATGCTCTGAACAACTCCAGGCTTATCGTGTATCCCTAAGATCAACCACCAAACACTTCTTTTTCTTTCTTCCTCTTTCTTTCTCTCTCTCTCTCGTTTTTTGTTTTTGTTTTCATTTTAAGAACACACCACCTTGTACTCAAAACAAGCAGAAAATAAGAGTTTTCTGCCTCTAACCGTTCTAGACCTTAGGACAAATCACTGTGCCTCCAAGTCTCCATTCACAACGTGGGAAAAAGAAACCTGCTTTAATAATAATAATGGTTACATTTAATAGGTGCACAGCTCACAGCTCTGTCATGATGGAGACCTTCTCCTAGTCTTTGAACCCCGCCCATGAGGTAAGAATCATCACCCTAAAGAAGAGAGTGATTACCAAGGCCAACCATGTAGTAAGTGGAGGAGACAGAATTCACACTCAGAACTTGCAGTCCGTGGGGACTATTCCTGCTCTCTCCTGCTACTGCTCTTGAGCAAAAGAGGGACTCAGGTAACTGAATGCACTCGATGAGGATAAAACTGTATGCAAATTCACGTTCCAGAAAGAACAAAGGCTATCCTTTGAACTGAGAATTTGGAAAAACTGGCCCCAAACAAATACTTAGTACTCTAAGATGTAGAAATATTTGCCTATGCGACCAGGCAAACAGGATGGATGGATGCACGGATGGATGGATGGATGGACGGACAGACAGGTAGATATATGGACAGATTGATTAGAAAGAGCTCCTCTGGGGGTGCCTGGGTGGCCCAGTCGGTTAAGCATCCAACTTTGGCTCAGGTCATGATCTCATGGTTTGTGAGTTCAAGCCCCGCATCAGGCTCTGTGCTGACAGCTCAGAACCTGGATCCTGCTTCGGATTCTGTGTCTCCCTCTCTCTCTCCACCCCTCCCCCACTTGCACTGTCTCTCTCTCTCTCTCTCTCTCTCTCTCTCTCAAAGATAAATAGAAATTAAACACACACACACACACACACACACACACACACACACACACAGAAAGAGCTCTTCTGTTTATGACTTCTGTTGCAGAAAGTTGCCAGTTATTCAAAAGGGACATTATCCTGGTTCTTTTTCATTTCAGCCTTTTACCCCTGCATGTTTGCAGATTGCTTAATTACTTCATTGGGCTTTGGAACTCATACATTACAGATACATGATCATCCAAGTCATTACCTGCATATTTTCCCATTAAGAATAATTATAGCTCTTACCACCACTGCCCATGTACTTACGTCCTGCAGGCCTGGGCACACTGAAGTAATCATCTTTTGAAAATGATCTTGATGGGCGAGTGTTGCGTGCACAATCGGTAATGAGCAAGACGAGGTGGGAAGATTTCCATCTCCTCCATTATTGAGTGGTTCAAAAGTCACATTCTTGTTATTTCATCACAGTGCCATGCAGGACGCTGAGGTGGTTTATGTTCTCCAGAAAAGTGAGTTCGCGCTGAATGCGGAGACAAGACCCAGGGGATGCGGGATTGTATCTCCCTCTCTATGGATTATCCTTCTGAGCACGGGCACATCACCCATTTCCTGGCTCAATTTCATTGTCTACAAAATGGGATTTATAAGATGCTTTAAAAACCTCCGATCATCAAATCTGAGATGGGACAGTCTTATAGATGGCAGCATAGCTTTTTATACTGATTAAGAGCCCAAGTTCTGGAATGATGGCTCTTCTACTTTATCAACTCTGTAACCTTGGGCATGTTACTTAACCTCTTGGAGCCTCAGTTTCCACATCTGTAAAGAGGAGATAGTAATAGTCCATGCCCCTTAGAGATTCAGCGCGATCCCACTTGTAAAGCACTTCTCCCAGTTCAAGATACAGGTGAAAGTCCAGGGAATGTTGGCTATGACTATTATCATCAGATCTAAACTGGAAGAGTCTGGGGACTGTTCAACATACCTCAGGCAACACATCTAAATTAAAAACAATAATTGCCTGCCAGATAAGAGTCCGAAGACATTGTGAAGGGGTCACATGTTATTTTAATCAGTAGATCATGAAGGCGTTCAATTTCAAAGGTAGGAGACAGACAAGCTAGCAGATGTTCGAAAAAATGTTAGATTATAGCCAAGAAAAAACTGTTTCAATGACTGGTTGGTAAATACTCTATAACCGGTTTCTTCAAGAGTTAATTATTCTTAAGTTTTTAAAAAATCTTTTTGTTTTATTTTCAATACAGCTAAAAAGCATCCCCTGTTAAGTTTCTTAGATTTTACATAAGCACTGAAAAGCCTCCATTAAATTGCCTATTACCACCTAGAAAAGGTTAATATTTTTGTAAATCATTCCACTAGCCCTCACCCATGGTCTGTCTTACACTCCCCATTTGCAATAAATAACGTTGCTCTGTATACAACCTTCCCTACATATTGTTCTTTGTACTTAGCTGTGTATTAGAAGCAACTTTTTATGCCACTTAATATTCTTTTCATTTTCTTAGTGGCGAGCTGACTCTCTATTCAGTTAACGCAATTTATTTCACCGAGTGTCGTGGCCGGCTGGTTATTTTGGTTTGTCCCCAGCTGTCTGTCAGGAGCAACTATGTAGCCTAAGCCTTCGGATACATTTCTAGAGGTGGGCTGGCTAGACCAGTGAAAATGTACTTTTTTAAAACAGCAAGCATTGTTTGTCAAACTCTCATATTTCTACCTTGATTTGGACACATAGATACACCATCTTTTTGAAGTGTGAACACGGTTCCCCACCACAAACGATGCAGTGGAGTTTCCCACCGCTGGGTAAACTGCAGAGGTCAGCAGCTTACCCGTCGTGCCGTGGGTAAGCCTCACCCTGGGAACACCACCTTCGTGATGACGGTATCTCCCCTGCCGGGGAAATATGCCACGTCCTCATCTCAGCTAGAATTTGGTGCCCCCACTGGAAAAAAAAAAAATGTGTGTGTTTCTTCTGGGACAGACTGTCTCTGAAGCGGGACCTGCTGGCACTAGTCGGTGGTGCTGTAAGAAGCAAATGGCCAAGGGTTCTGAGCACGGTGTCTACCTGGGTCCCGGTGGACTAAACATGTCACATTTATAACCTTCTTAGCCGTGCTTCCCATGAGCGGGGGACAGCATAAACTTGAGTGTCCCGGCCAATATGCCCAACTGAATATGACTGTCGAAGTGTCTGGGGCTCTTGGTTTTCCAGGACACGTTTGTGTCACTGATGTGAGCCGGCTGTTGTTTAAAACTGTCTGTTCAGGAACTTCAACCCCTTTTTTTAAAGGGATTTGAAATAGAAGCTTCTATGTGCACAGCATTTCCCCGGGAGGAGGCGCAAGCAACTGGGGACAAGGTTTGCCTCTGGCCAGGGAGAGGGAAGGGATTGCAACTGGGCAAGAGACATCCTTCACACTGGATCCTTCGCACGGTTTTGCTTTCTTACCGGGTGCGCGTACACAAAAGGGAAATCTTTCAGCCAGAAAGACGAAGCCCAAAAGAGACAACCATGCATGTAGATGTTTCGCGTTGTCAGCTACCGGATTAGGAAAACATAAGCAAAACAAGGTACTTGAATCATTTCACAAAAAGGGTATATATAGTTGTTTATTTAAGAATGCAAGGTCTGGAGCCAGACTGCCTGGGTCCATAACACAGCTCTGTCGCTTACTAGCTCTGTGATCTTAGACAATTACCAACCCCCGCCCCCGCCCCCGTACGTCAGTGTCCTCCTCCATAAAATGGGGTAATTGTACTCCCTACTTCACAGTTACTTGCATTCAGTGAGTAAAAACACAAAAGCCCCCAGAACAGTAACTAGCACACAGCATGTGATCACTGTAGATTAGCTATCATTATTGCTACGGTTGTCGCTATCATTCTTCATTCAAATTTTGCAATGTTATCATTACAACAGCAAAGAGCCCTCCCTACGATTTGTAGGTTTTCAAAAGCAAAGGGCAATTTTACTGCAAGTGTCTAACCGATCTGAAGTTATTTCCAACTATGCAAACAGTCGATGGGAGAGGGAGAGGGGTGCCAAACTTCCCTTTAGTTCGTAGTGGTTCCAGATTTGAGAGCGGGCGCCCACAAGTCTTTGCAAGAGTAGGTGACCCAAATCATCTGGGGAGTTCGGTTTTTGTTTTCTTTGTGCGTCAACGCGATCTTGTTTCTCTCTTCTCTTGAGCATGGGTGGGGTGCAGGGGGGGGAAGAGACGGTGGTTGAACAAACGGCAGAAACTCGAGTTTCAGTACCCATTTAACGCGATTGCCCCTTAACTGTGTAGGCGCAAACATTTTTACATTTTAATTCCAGTATAATTAAGAGACAGGGTTATATTAGTTTCAGGTGTACAACAGAGCGATTCAACCATTCTACGCGTTGCTCAGTGCTCATCACGATAAGTGTGCTCTTCGGGAAGCACATGTTTTGAAATCAGTATTTGCCTAAGGAAACCATTCACGAGATAGGAAGGTGTTAAAGCTTCCTGAAAACATTCTAATCCCACCTACTGTGCATAATGTGCTCAGTCATTGGAAATGTATTGCTGGCAAAGCAGATGATGTGGTGACGGGGACAAGTAGACTCTGCTGTCACACAAGCCTGGATACATTCCTTTGCCCAACATTTTACCGAACGTGATAAACATAGTGCTGTTACTATGCCTGTTTTATGGGTGACCCTTGCTGCCTTATATCAGTGTGGCTCTTCTCGAGCTGCCAGTGTCAGCAGAGTGGGATCTCTCCTCCAGGATTTCAGGGTCAGGCCATCCCAAACTCGGGTCAACATATTTAATTAATGAGAGTACAGCAGATGCTAGTTTTAAGGATTCTATCCTGAGGTCTTAGCCGATTCACTGCTATGCCTCACACACAGTAAGCATTTGCTGAATGAAGCCCCAAATTGAACATGAGGGTGTAACATAGCATTGCCCCCGTGAAGACAAGGCTACCTAGGGGCGCCTGGGTGGCTCAGTCGGTTAGGCCTCTGACTTCGGCTCCGGTCATGATCTCGTGGTTCGTGGGTTTGAGCCCCGCATCGGGCTCTCTGCTGACGGCTGGGAACCTGGAGCCTGCTTCGGACCCTGTGTCTCAGTCTCTCTCTGCCCCTGTCTGCCTTCTCAAAAACAAGCATTTTTTAAAAATCGAAAGGAAAAAAAAGAAAAAAGACAGGACTATCTCAAGTGCTCTGGATCCACCAAATGTTCAGGCATAAAAAGGCTGTGTTGTTTGGTCCAGGGTTGCTCAGTCCACTGCTAAAGGTGATTCAAACAGGGTTAAGGGTAGGAATTGGGTCCAAACAAGCAAGTCTAGTTAGAAAACATTTTCGTTGCATGCACACGGGTTGTGTTAAGCTTTGAATTCTGATTCCCAGCACGACCGATGATAATACCTTTAAAAATAAACTGAAAATTGGCTTGTTTAATTGTGCCAAATGATTCAAAACCCAAGAAGTGTCAAAAAGTGGGCCCCAGGAGGAATGATCCGATAGACAGCCTAAAAACAGACTGAAGGTAACATAACGTTGTACGGGAACTGTGCTTCCATAAACAATGAACATCGAAACAGAGACAAACGTCTATCCTACTCTCTTCTGCTACAGCACCCGTTTTGCCCCATCATTACAGCAGGAAGCAATGAGCCAAGATTGTTCCGTACGCCACAGGGCTCAGTGTCCCTCCTGCAGATTAGACACCTTCTTTGAACAGGGATTTAACTGCACAACATAACTTTAAAGAAAGATCACCCATAATGTTACATACCTTTTGAGTAAAAATTGAGTGAATTATATTTACACCTCCTAAATTAGAGTTTGTCAAGACACCAGACCCCGACATTTCAAGAGCAATGTGGTAGTGAAACACCAAGATACTTGATGGGTACAGATTAACTGACAGGATCATGTGCTTGTCTTGTCCGCGGCCCCAAACTATATGGCATTCCCATTGTTACGTTTCCCCCATCTACCGGGAAGAGGTGGGTTCCTGGGATGCAAACAGTCTTGATGATATTAAGGCTGAGATGGCCCTTTGGGGTTTGTAGGCATCTTAATTATAGTGCATTTGTTTTATAATTTTAACTGAGGTTACTGGATAAACATTTGTAACGCATCCTCATTATTAGGCTAAGGAAAGAAATCTATTTCTGCCAACAGAGAGCATATAAATCTTCACTACCTCTTTGGTCCCCACTAGTTTACATTTAGAACATCACACCTTTTCTGAAAAGCTGTTGGAGACATATGCTCTAGTTATTGTCCTTCAGTGATTTATCACTTAACTCTGAAACAGGCAATATATCCAACTTACCCCCTAACTGGTGTCCTATTCCAATTATCATTAATTACGTCAAAATATGTTACTTTTACACAAAGCATGATTTTTAAAATCTTATGCTTTGAACCACCAGTGAATATTTGTACATCTCTTTAGCTAATATTTATCGAAAACCCATTCTGTGCCCAACACTGTTACTCAGTGGTATTTTTTTAATTTTTTTTTAATGTTTATTTTTGAGAGAGACAGACAGACAGAGACGGAGCGCAAGCAGAGAAGGGGCAGAGAAAGAGGGAGACACAGAATCTGAAGCAGGCTCCAGGCTCTGAGCTGTCAGCACAGACCCTGATGCGGGGCTCAAGCTCATGAACCGTGAGATCATGACCTGAGCCCAAGTTGGATGCTTAACCGACTGAGCCACAAAGGTGCCCCATCAGTGGTATTTTTTAAGCTTCCCAAATAGATCTCAAACTTCTCATATGAAAAATTTATTCTCAGAGAGAGAGAGAGAGAGAGAGAGAGAGAGAATTTGTGAGAAAAGCCCCAGTGTCAGAAGGTAAATATATAAGATTGTGGCTTTTTATACCAGCTCTGTCAATGATCCGCGTGTGACCCACAAGTCATGTATCTCTCTGTGCCTCTGTTTCTTCACCTGCAACAGAGTAGTAGTAATTTTTTCTTGACCTGATTCAGCTGTTAGGAGAAAGAGCTAATAAAAATTGTTGTGAAGTACCATGAATATTGAAAAGTGCATCATCATCATGATTAATAATAACGTATAAAGCTCAAATATTGAAATGACTCTCTGGCATCATTCCAAATCAAGAAATATAAGCGCTGGCCTTGCATAGTAATGAAGAGAAACAGTGTGAGATACTCTTATTGTACCGGTTCAAATGAACACAGTGATGAATATCTTTAATTACAGTGTATTCTGTAACAGTGTGTGTGTGCGTGCCTGTGCACGCATGAGTGTGTGTGTGTGTGTGTGTGTGTTAAACTAAATGTATTGCAGTCCTCTCAATAATATATCCAGGGTTCAAACAGAACCATTCCAAAACCAGGCAGACATTTGTATATCTGTACCTAACCTTTAGAATGGGATGCTCATTTTGATAGAGGACGCAAGCAGCTAGCGGTCCTCTGTTAAAGAAAGTTGGCTCTGATTTCATAGACCTCAAAATCGGTCATCCTCACGTTAGCTGACTATCTGGCACCTAATGAGAAAAACAAATTGCTTTTACTTTCCACAAAATACATTTGCATTTAGAACTTTTTTTGTGACTCGTAAAAGGTTTATAAAGCATCCACTCAAACCCTTCTACCTGCATTTTTCACCTAAAAGGGCCTTTATGAAATCTTACGGTAAATTTAATAACCCTCTTCAATAAACATGAGCTTTTATGAGTATGACATACCTAAATAGACTCAATGGTCTGGGAATAAAATCTGCATCAGTAATATTTTCGGTGCTGTAATATCTTCCATATTAAGCCATGTACCGAGTCGACTCCTCCATAAGAAAAAAAAAAAAATTAGTCTCCAAGTTTAAGAAAGCAACTGGTCACTGAACACTTGGGTGACTCATTAAGTTCGATGTGAAATGTCCTGATGTGTACAATATCG